AAGCAGTGGTATCAACGCAGAGTACTGAATCAGATAAAAAACCAAAACCGAGCAAGAAAATAAACCAGAACAAGAAAATAAAAATAAAACAGAACCAGATAATAAACCAAAACATGAACCAGAAAATATAAATAAAACAGAACCTAGTAATAAACCAAAACATGAACCAAAAAATAATCCAATACAAGAACCAGATAATAAACCAAATCCAGAAAATATACCAAAACAAGAACAAGATAATAAACCAAATCCAGAAAACAAAAATAGAACAGAACCAAATAATAAACCAAATCCGAAACCAGATAATAAACCAAATCCAGAAAAGATACCAAAACAAGAACCAGATAATAAACCAAAACCAGAACAAGATAATAAACCAAATCCAGAAAACAAAAATAGAACTGAACCAGATAATAAACCAAATCCAGAAAATAAACCAAAACCAGAACAAGATAATAAACCAAATCCGGAAAACAAAAATAAAACAAAACCAGATAATAAACCAAAACCAGAAATAGGTAATAAACCAAATTCAGAAAACAAAAATCAAACAGAATCAGTAAATAAACCAGAACAAGAACCAGATAATAAACCAAATCCAGAAAATAAAAATAAAACAGAACCAGAAAATAAACCAAAACAAGAACCAGAAAAAAAACCAGAAAACAAAAATCAAACAGAATCAGTAAATAAACCAGAACAAGAACCAGATAATAAACCAAATCCAGAAAATAAAAATAAAACAGAACCAGATAATAAACCAAAACAAGAACCAGATAATAAACCAAATCCAGAAAATAAAAATAAAACAGAACCAGATAATAAACCAAAACAAGAACCAGATAATAAACCAGAACCAGAAAATATACCAAAACAAAAACCAGAAAATAAACTACATCCAGAAAAAAATAATAAAACAGAACTAGAAAATAAACCAAAACAAGAAATTATTCCAAATCCAGAACATAAACCAAATCTAGTAAATCAAACAGATCCGCAAAATAAATCAAATTCATTTAATAAAACAGAACCATATAATAAATTAGATATAGATAATAAACAAAATTCAGAAAATAATCCAAAAAATAACCCAGCTAATAAATCAAATTTAGAAAATGATTCAGATAATAAACCAAATCCAGAAAATAAAGATAATAAAGTAAATCCAGAAAATAAAACAGAAAATAAGCCAGAAAATAAAAAAGAAAAAGAAAAAGAAAAAGAACTACAAGAAAATAAACCTCCAAACGGAAATGAACCAAAAAATAAATCATCAAATGAAAAAGATAATAAAAATACAAAAATTAATATACAGGAAATACAATTAAATGAAAAAAACATAATACAAAATAATAACAAAGATCATAATAATCTGGTAGAAGATAATAAAAATCTAATGGAAAAGGATAACAACGGCGATTCGAATAAAGTTGATTGGTTACCTGTTGGAATTATTATTGTTATTATTATTGGTGTAATTTTTATAATCTTATTAATAATTATTATTAAATCTTGTTTAAAACCTGTAAAGAATAGAACTGAAAATTCTGAAACATTCCAATTTGATAAAAACTTTTCTCTTGATAATTCTGGATATAGTACAACAAAGAAATGACTAAAAAAAATAAAATTTCCTTATATAGTTTGATCTCTTAAATTTATTATTATTAAATTTTATTATTTTATTTGAAAACAAATTAGTTTTAATGAATTAATGTTAAAAAAATTAATGAAATAAATTATTTTTTTATTTATTTTAAATTTGAAAAAAATATTTTTTTATATATTCAATAATAATAATTAATTATATTAATTATATATTTATATATTTAATAATTATTAAATTTTTATCATAAATAGATTTAAATATTGGGGATTGGGGATTGGGGATTGGGGATTGGGGATTGGGGATTGGGGATTGGGCCCAATCCCCAATCCCCAATCCCCAATCCCCAATCCCCAATCCCCATATTTATAAGTTAAATATAATTATAATTATTTTTATTATAAAATAAATTAATAATAAAATAAAACAATTTTTAATAAAATTAGAATTATAAACTATGGATATATTATTAATAATAATTAATATGACATAAATAAGTTTACTTATATATTTTTATGAGTTTCTTGAATTTTAGCCAAAGGAGAAGGAGAATCATATTCAAAAATACTTCTAGCTGTATCATTACCACATATTTCTTCACTTTTTTCGCTAAATGTTTCAGAATCATTAATTAATTTCATTGAAAAAAGAGAATTTGATGATTTTTTAATATTACTTCTACGAAGTTTTAGACTTTTTTTATTATTGTCTATATTTAAAATATTACTTAATCCTCTCGAACTTTTAAATTCATTCATTTTTTTAGTTGATAAAATTTTTAATTTATTTGTAAATTTTTCACAAATATTCATATCATTAATTATAGTAGAAATTTCAATTATTTTTTGATATAATTCAAATAAATCAGAAAGATCATCACTTCTATCATCTGTTATATTTTTATTATAACATATTTCTAAATAATTACATAAATCAATTAATTCATTTATTTGTTCTAAATAATTATTTGTATTATTAATTTCTTTAAAAAACTTTGTATATTCTATTTTATTATATATATTTGATATTCTTATTCTATATCTTGATTTTATTGCTGATTTTCTTCTTTTAAATTCTTCAAAAAATAATCCATTAGAAACAGAATTAAGTTTATCTTCATCATCAGTTATACTAAAAATAAAATATTTATTTATTTTTTCATTATTTTCTATTTTTCTTCTTATTGATATTTTTGTTGAATCATTATCTGATAATTCTTTATTTTCACTTATTAATTTACAATCGCATTTAAATATTTCATAATATAAAAGCAATTTACTAAAATTTTTCCTATTATTTTCATTATTTTCATTATTTTCAAATAATAATATAAAAGATTCGGTTAATATTAGATAATTTTTTGAATAATATATATATGATTCCGTTGTTGAATCATCAATTGTATTATATAGATTAATATAATAAAATTTATTATTAACATTATAAAAAAATTCATTAATATTATATATTGAGTTAATATAATAATTTCCGAAATTAATTAATATATTATCTTGTTGATATTTAAATAATTTATATACGAAATTAGGGATCTCTTTTTTTATTAAATTTTTTATTATGTCAATTTTATTAAGATTTTTATTTATTGTCCATATATTATTTTTTATTATTGAATATAATAAATCTCTTCTATCAGAAATGGATGGGTAGATATTTATATTAATACATAAAATACTGGGGGAAGTCTGTGGAAAATTTTCGTCAATAATTATTTCGAATATACATTTTTCCATATCTAATATTTCAGGTGGATAAATAACTTTTATAACTAAATTTGAATATTTATTTAAATCTTTATTATATATTGATTTAAATTGCAAAATATAATTTTTTGAAGAATTTGATAATTCTGTGATATATTCGTTAAATATAGATAAATTATTTTTATTTATTTCTTCAATATTTTTAGTAATATCTTCTTTATGAGTCTTTATATCAAGAATTTCATTGTTAATTGTTTGGATTTCATCAATAATATTAATTAATTTTTCGGATTGATTATTCGATTTTAATTTTTTGCACCATATTTTCATTTAGATTTAATTTATTTTTTATTTGCTAAGATAAATTTTAGTTATTATTATTATAATTAAATTTTATCAATCTTAAAATATATTTTGTCCAATGGGGATTGGGGATTGGGGATTGGGGATTGGGGATTGGGGATTGGGAACCTATTCGTTCTGCAATGGCTTGCTAATCATACAGAGTTTGAAACTAACAACTTTGTTGAAGGTGTCGATGTGTTCAAAGGAAATACTTTATTTCAATATATTTTCAGAATATCATACAAATGAAGATCATACTTTTATTGGTCGCACTATTTTGCATGGCAACCAGCGTTGCTAGCAGGGCACACAGCGTTGATGTATGTGTGCGCAGAGGGAGAGCTGGGTGCATGGCATCTTGCAAGTGGGGCGTTGCAGGTGTAAGTTCTATAAAGTGATCCGTTGCATGGGCATGATATACGTAAGGTGATCCCAAAGGTATTAGCGTGTCCACATTGACGAGCAACTCCATTTAGAAATCAGAAAAGCGTTCGACTTGATTGAAACAACCACTATCGCACAACTGCTAATCTTATTGTGATTATCAAGCTTCAAATTTTTCAAAACATAAGCGTGCCAACGTCGAAGCTTTTTGAAGAGACCATTTTACTTTAGAGAAAGGAAAAAAGATCTAGGATTGATAGCTTATACAAATCTGCTGTATATAGACCGCATCAAATACTTCCCATTTTCGCAAATAGATGAAAAAAACAAACAAACCGTTATTCAAAATCTTTCTTTCAGCATATTATCAATGTTGCATTATGGTCCGCCAAAAAGGAAATGCCAAAAAATCCTTAAAAATCAACCTAAATTCTCTTTCAGTTTCAATATTTGAGTAACTGCTTGAGTTTTGATGGTTGACCAGAAAGCGTAAAAATTGGATGGTCTCACTCACATATCAATCGTCAGTTAATCTAGCATCACTTGCTTGCGTAAAAGTCTGCACAATTTCCAAAGTCGACTAATTTTGTTACTCGTAAAAAGCAAAAGTCCTTCAAAACCTTACGAGCTAGTTAAGCTTTGTTGGAAGTACTCGGATGTCCTACCAAGTTAAGATACTTATCACGTTTAACTGAGTCATGCCACATTTTAGTTTTGATTTTAACGTAGTTGATTTTCCAAAGGTGCATTTGCAACAGCCAAACCATGTAAAGCTGAATCTCATTAATTATAAAAACTTTAGTGTCATAATCTTCTGGTATCGGCCCGCAAGCACACTATAATAAGCGGGAAATCTATTCGATTGTAAATACAAAGGATTCTTCAACATTTTCGTTGGTCAACGATAGACGTTACCAGAATTTTGTCGCTTATGTTTACCTAGAGAACCATTCAAAAATAGGTCCAACTTTCTTAGCATAAGAAATTTTCCAACACAGCAGTGTAACTGTGAAGTAGCTCCATTTTGAATTTGTTCAAAATTTATAGAGAGATTATAAATCATTTAGCTTAACTAGGTATAGAAATTTGACTTTTGCATTTTGAAGTGGTACGCATTACAATGAAAGGCTTTTACATTTTATTCAAATTGCCAACAACAATTAGGACGGTTGTCAAGCTGAAATTTTATATTTCTAGCAAAACATCGAAATCTGACAGCGACAGTGATTTCATTTTGAAGTACGAAAGCAAAAATTGCTAAAGCGTTTCTCGCCCGAAGACCGTTCTGTCTTACAATGAGCGTAGTGTTCATTTAAAACAAAACGAAACCATCAAGATGTACTTCAGGACACTGTGCTGTCAAAAACAAACACTATTTGTTTTAACAACCTAACATATATCGATGCATCGATCATCAGATCGTCAAGTAAATGTTTTCCAGAGCAGCAAGAAGAGGATGAAAGGATTCTGCGTATGGCGTCAAAAGTGCGAAAACTCGGGAAGAAGAAGATGTAGGAAGTCTCCAGTCTGCGTTTGCAGATTTCCCCCATATAAAATAGACAAATAAAATGGTTGTTAATAAAATGGTTGTTGCTTTTTTTTTCGGAAAAATTTAACAAGGTAAACAATGGTTGAAGTAATCATTCATCGTCTTTATCTTTTTGAAGATCTTAAATATAGCAAAAATTTGTCTGCGGCATTTGTAGGCCGCACAGGCGACCGACAATCTGTAAACCACATTATGTCCCAAAGTGGAAAATTTCGACCAAAATATTGAAAAATTCTGAATTTGTGAAGTAGCGGAAGATTCGAGATTGTACGTTGTTATTACCCAGTTTTTCAAAGATACTTCTGCGATGCGCAAGGCGGGCTTGATATTTAACACCCGCTCAAAATTTTGATTTTAGGAGTTTTTGTTCCATCTCCCTGATTCTTTATCATGGATATAAGGCACTAGGAATTAATGCTTTATGGCATGCATTCAGGTAAACGCAAGTCCATCATTTTTGCGTATTAAACAATACTTGTGTTGAGGATGTTCCACCGAGTTGTTTTGCCATACTCACTCAAAAAACTGGGAAACTAAAGAAAATTTTGAAAGAAGTTGTGAAGAATATAAAGCTAAACATTTTCATATAAATTATCTAGGGTCTTCAAAGGGAGTCTGATCAGGAACTGTGCTTTCTCAGTGAGGTACCTATAGGAAAAGTGGCTAGGACACGCTTTCGAGAAGGCTTGATAAAAACGCGATATCAGAATTATTAGTGTCACATGCTATAATGTTACTAAATATAAAACAAAGCCCTTTTAGCCATAATAGCTGATCACTCTAAGAAAGAGTGAAGGAAGCTAAGAAGGAAAATCAAAAGACTTCTAGTGTTTTCAGTCTCAGCTTTATGTATTTTGTTGGCGGATCGTCAAGCGGAACGATTGAAGTGTTTTTTTAGGGTGTAGATCACACATTTATGTGCGACACACGAGTAATGCCAAAAAAGCCATTGTAAATCATTTTACTCTGGTGCATAAATTCTGTCCGTTTCGCAGCTTTCAAGAATAAACGTATAAATTCTTTCAGTATCAACGAGCAAGCTTTCGACTGTCAGATAGAAAGAACTTTACAAGAAACGCTACCGAAGAGGAAACAAGATTACAAAATTTTTGCGCTGTTTTCTTCAATTCTATCTTGCTTTAAAATGGTGGCTCCCATATAAGATGACAGGCATATTTAGTCCACATCAAAAATAGCGAAAATTTTGAAGATAGTTAGAGTTCTGTTTAAGCGAACGAAAAAACTTGGTATTCAACCCAGCTTTAGTACACTCGTACCATTTTCAAATTTTCAAATTGCGAATGCTTCGAGTAGTGAAGGGTAATTGATGAGTGTTCTCTGCTCTTGCTTTACTCTAGCACCTTATCAGTTGCATCTACCGAGTTCTGTTCCCTGTAGAAAACATCTATACAACGAAGTATTAGTGTTTGACAGCAAATTTTACAAGCAAGGCGAGTTTACATCAAAGTGAATTGAGGCATATATAAGCCCGATACACCCTTATTCCGTGATGCATACAAGGACTTGACTTGGAAGACACGTTGTAGAGCTTTTTCTGAAAGAAGCTGTTTTAGGGAGAGATTGGGTTTCGCGCTCCTAAGATCGTAATCCTGCAATCTCGTTAACACACCAATTATTGCATGGTACTGCTTGGCAAGGGTAGTGTGTCAAGACTTGATTTCGTCAAAGTGACGACTTGGGATAACCCCACTCCATGACTTCTCGTCTGTATGTAGAGACAATCTCGTTTTTTTAGTAACCTTTCAGAACTACGGGAGGTATATTGAAGATAGCAGTATGTGTGTTTTGATCTGAAAAATGTTGTCCGGATAATGAAAGGCCTGTGTCCTAAAAGGCAGGCAACCAAAAATCTGCGTGTTCGCCAATATGTTAAATAAGATTATATTGAATTTTGATATCTCTCAGAAAGAGCAATGAAATTGTTTTTGATGATACAGTTATATAGCGTCAAAGATGAAATTTTATAACAGCTGCTTCGAACACAAGGCATCAGAAATGGGACAGAACTTATGCAGCAACTGGTGATTACACTGAACAACGTACACCTGGAAAATCTAGCTTCGAAACGTTTTCCTTGTAGCTAGTCCAGAATAGGTGGCTATAACATATACTGGTTAAGTTGAAGTAATGAGATGCTTAAGCAGTCTATACCTACACATTAAGTCAGAATCTGCATAATAAACGTCCGCACGCAATTTTGCAGCATCTGTGATTTGCTATAAACATCTATACTTATATAATATTAGGTCGTTCCGAAAGTTTTTTCGTTTTTTCACCATATCATAGAAACACGTGGAACAAAGATATATAAAAGTTTTGAGCACTACCCGACGCAGTTTTTCTTCCTCTTTCAACTCTGACTGTCACATTATATGCCGCTTACTCTTATGGTCATTGAGATTCGCCGAAATTTCGAACCCATCATTTTTACCTTGTCCAAATTTGGCAAATTTTCAGAACATTTTCAAAATTTTTTCATTTCTTCTCTTCGAACTTCTAGAAAAGATTCGATGGCATTCACATAACAGAAACAAAGCGCAATGCAATGCTTTGGCAATTCAAAATAGCTTCTCAGTTTTTTTTGCATAGCTTCTCCAGAAGCTTTTACTTTTGCTAAGTCGCAAAACACCCAAACTCACCGAATACTGACAAATCTTCTGATCTTGAAATTTTCAAAAGTCGATTACGATTATCAACAATTTTTACAAGGCAACTAACCGTTTACCTCTTCGAAATAGAAGTTTTCGCATCTTAAGTGAACATGGTGGGGCGGGTTTAAAATCAAAAATATGAAAATTTTATCGCCAAAGATCCTACAAACTGGGAAGGAAAACACTCATTAGAAAGAGGGGGAAAAGCTGCATCGAATGCCACCTTAGCTGTGCGCCGTTTTATTTTCTATGGTTATTGGCATCACCAAAAGTGGAATTTGATAGCATTAAAAAATATTTCTAAAAATGTTTTAAAGGCACCACCCAAAATGGAGGTTGCCGAGATTATGATGGCATAGTGTGGGCCTCACACATTAGGCAAACCCTCAAGCTTCGCCGCAAGCCTGCGTTTTTGAAGAGGGTTCTCAAAACAGGAATTTTTGGGGGTTTCGCGGATTTTCGACTCCATATTCGGAATCAGGGCTTTCAGAAGGCCTGAAGGCGACAAAAACGTTGAATTCGAGATTTTGGGTGGACGGTGCCTTTGAGGCTAGCTATAGATGCCTAAAAATTTCATTGCATTGCACTTTATTTAGTCTATCTGAATGTTACCAAAGCTTTTCCAAAATTCAAAAATGAAGGTTACGAAAATTTGCCAAGGTTACATATGGTGAAAATCATGGGTTCCAATTTTTGGCGATTAACTTAGTGACCACAAGAGCAAGCGGCATATATGCCGCTTGCTTCCTATAAGAACATGACAATTAAAAAGAGGAGAAGAAGCTGCGTCGGTCACTGCTTAGAGGCAGCGTCCACCCAGATTTGGCCCCCCATGTTTTCGTCATTCTGGGGCCTTTCCGTGGCCCTGATTACAGTTCCGAACTTCAAACTCTCCGAAGTTCACAAAAAACCCGATTCCTGAGGACCCCGTCTTGAGGGCGCGGACAAGTTTCAGATCGCTCGTCCCCGTCGGCATGCCAGCGGGAGGAGCTGCAACTCTATGGGTGCAGTTGAAGCAGTGTACAGTTTCTGCTCACTACCATGTCAATACGTGTGGGGAGGCAGTCCCTGGCTGGGCGGAGGCCTGATATCAGACTCCGCGCAGCCAGGGACTTCCAGGCCCCTTATCTCCATTCAGAGACAACGTTAGAAGACCACCAATGCAGATGCCCCTTTTCTGGGGCCTACATTCAGGATCACTCTAATCGGTGGGGGGGGGGGGGTAGGTTAGCCTGGACACTGCCTTTAAAGCGTTTCTCTATCTTCTTCTACGCGTTTTTATGATAAGTTGAAAAAACGGAAAGAACCTCCGGAACGACCTAATATTTGTCTTGGCCACTTTTTGTATCTTCGCCTTAAATGGATAGGAAGAGTAATAGAATTCAAACCAATTTCAGTACACAATTGTATCGTGTTAGGCGTGTTTAAATATGCCATTTTGTTCGAGGCACACAAACTGCCCCTATCGGTTTATTGATTTCTTGCAATTTTGCTCAGAATATCCTTTATGTTTGCACAAAAAAAGATAAAAGAAGTCATCGAAAATTAGCCAAATTCGGCAGACATAGTGTGCGGGGGGGGGAGGGGCGTGTTTTAGTAAGCCATTTTGTTTAGGACCTACCAACTGCCTCTATCGATTCCTGGTTTTTGCAGTTTGCGTAGTATACTTGCTTAGAATGTTGGTCAGAATGGTCAGAATGAACTGACAAAGCCGAGAATATGTCCTCAGCTTCTCTTTTTACGCAGGTTATAAATCTGATTCGTGCAAGATAGGAGATAGATAGTTTGCAAATTCTCACATTTCCGCATTAAAGTGAAAGTAAACATGAAACGAAAAGTTCACGAGGCAGCGGAGCTGCTGAGTATCTGCGGAATCTGCTGCGTAGCGGCAGAGCGGGGCTGGTCATGATATAATCCATTTATTTTCTACTCATCCTCTTTAGTCGTCCCCCCCCCTAGTGTTTTCTCTTGCAGCACGGCAAAATCACTGATGCTGCGATCTGAAGCAAAGTTTGGGCGCTATCTTGATTGCGATGTACAGAGTAGCTCACAGGCATGACGATTGAAGCTCCCCGCGTTTTGAAAGCCCACGATATTGTTCTATCGCTCCAAAAGATATGAATATGGTATGCATATAAAATAGCTGAACAAGTCGCAAGATTGTCTATCACTTGAAAAAATTCTTATCTATTTACCTATTTATATATTTATTTACACACAGAGGCGCACCGAAAAAAACAAAAAATCGAGTGAGAAACGCAGATAGCGCATTTTTCTAGCAAATTTACGTCACAGTTACCTAACCTCGGTGCATAAGAATTGTTCAACGTTGACTTACGATAAGTATGACCTGCATTTCACGCT